ACCTTGATCAGGAACCTGATGAATCGTACACAAAATGAGAACTAGAAGATTGTGATTTGTTAATCAATTAATTTAACAAGTATTGGATAAATTAATTAATTGTGTTTGCTTATTTATAGGCTTGAATTAATTAATTCACGGATTGGATTTAATTAAATGGGTTAATTAAATATTGAATCGAGTTAGGCCAAGCCTGTTCGGGTTTATATAAATATGACTAGAGTTTTCAAAATCTATAAAGAATTCATTCTTGCTAGAACAAAAAGAAAAAATCATAATCCTACAATCTTGTTCTCTTTGTGAATTACCGTTGAAAACTGGACAATTGGATAGTTGCGGGTGGCGAATCAAGATCGCTGGACAAAAGGAAAAACAAAGAAGTTTGCAGATCTAGAAAGAGGTACAATTTCTGTCTAACACAAGAAGATTCTTGATGGGAATTGAAATTTGTATTAATTATCGTTGTGCATGTTTAAGTAGATTCCTAACAGATTTTGTGTTCTAGAGTTCGTGATGATTACAGAAAGTATTGTTTAGTTCAGTGGTTCGGTCATTTTGCTTTTCTAGAATGACTCTGTTGGGTTCTTTTATGCTAATTAAGCAGTAATTGTTTTCTGTTCTGCTGTCAATTTTCTATTATGCGGCAAGATGATTGCTTCTTTATTCCTCTGACAAAATGACTTGGTTGATCTCTGTGCTTAAAGAAGATAATATGTTTGTATCCTATACAAAACATTTAAAAGGCCCTTCAAAGTAAAATTATCATTGAAGTTCACCTCCAAAAAAATGTTGTTCTTCACAATTCATCAACGTCATTATTAACAAGGAGCGAAGTGCTTGTCAAAACTAAAAGATTTTCTCTTGAACAAGACTGTAATAACATAATCTGAAATCACAATTGGGTTGCCTGGTTTAATGTTCTTATTTCATCTGTTCAAAGGCATGTTTGACAAAGCTCGGAAAGAAGTAAAGTAACTTTTTGTTTTCGAGCATATGTAATTTACCTTTTTCTACTTAGGTTACTATTAAAAATATAAATAATTCCCACTTCAACTAATAAAAATTACTATTCATTTTAAGAATTACTTATTAAGTAAATTTTAAGCATGGCCAAACATGCTCTAGAGGTTCAAGTTAACATTTTCACTATCTCGAGATTTTCTTAAATTCGACTACTAATTTTCACCATGGACATGTAGTCTATGCCTCTTGTGGTCTAATTGAGCTTCCATTGTCTCTCTATTAGTGTCTTTTGGGTAATGGCTTGGCACAATTGAGGTTTCACCCATTTGCTTACATAATTTATTCGATATGGAAAATGTTCTTTTTCATCTCACCATCAAAGGGACATTTTTATCTTCCCTTTTTTTTTTTCTTTTTGTGAAACATGTTTTAGATTTTGTCCTATTACGTGCTATTGATTAGGATAAGAAGATCAAATAAGAATATGATCTTATTCATCTCATAGTTGTTGATATACCAGTGAATTACTATACCTTGAAGTGAAAAATAAAGTAAACTGTCTGTGTTTGTGCCTACCCGTACATGAGAGGTATCCAAGACACACACACACACGGAGATCTAAACAAGGACTCGTTGGGTGTCGTAAGCACAAATTGATGTGATCCAAGATAGGCCACAAACTACCAAGGAATTGATGATTGTTTGGAAGAGTCCCAAGTCATGTTTGAGACCTCGAAGGGTTAACAAAAGCCACACAATTGCTTGGACGAGCCATGGAATACAAAATTTTGGAGTAAACAAGCCAAAGTCTAAGTTTGATGTTGGGGTTGGAGGCCAAAATAAATTAGGAGCAAGTACGGTCAAGAGACTAAAGTTGGGGCCAACAAGGATGCTATGCGGTCACATAGTGTCCCAAGCCATGCCACCGCATGGTGGCGTGCAGGGAAAAACTGGAGGCTATTGAGATGATCCATGCGATCGCATGGTATAATTTCGTAAGAAAATTTTCCTTTTTCGCTCGAGAATCCTATTTTAGTTAAAACACTTATTTTGTAACTTTTACGATTTTAGGACTCTTTAATTCCTTTTTTACCTTATTTCTAGGGTTTAGTATAAATAGGATCTTTCATTATTCATTGAAATCTTGAGATTCTTGATATTGAGAATTTATTTGAAAGGCTTGTTGCTTCCAAATCTATTGTTCTTTAGAACAATTCGAACTTATCAAGATTAACAATCTTGTGGCGTTCACAAATTCGGGTGATATGCATAAATTGTGTAATCAAGAGGTCGGTAATTTATTCAATTATTGGTAGCTTAGTTCATCGTTTGTGGGTTAAATCCAAAAACTTGGTTCAATTGGCATTCTTGGGAATTGATTTCAATCTCGTGTGGGTTTCGTAGTTGCCGTTGCTACGCGGGTTCACATCACAAATTATCTGTGTCCTATTGTAACTTTAAGAGATCTAGTGACCGGTTGACACTGTCATAAAAACTAATTTTATCTACATAATTCATTAAGTATTTTTTGAAATTTTTATCTCCGTAGTCTTAGAAAAAGAAAGTGAAGAATTATCTGATATACAACTATCATTGTAATTGATAAAATTTATCCTTCATTTTCATTCATCTTTTATGTATTTTTAAAGTTGACTATAACCTGATTCCTAAAATTGTGCTGTTGAAGAGCGTAAAGACCAATGCATTAAACAATAGATGCAAGCTATTAGATTGAATTGGAATATGAGAAGATGTAGCAGAAGGACATTGGTCTTCAAATTATCCAAAAATATTGGTTCATCACATCCCTCTAGGACCTAGTGCTGTAAGAGTTAGTGTTGATGTAGCTTTGAAGCTTGATGCATTCTTGTGCAAGCGTAGCTCTGATATGACTTGTATTGAAGAATGTGTTGGTACAACGGTTACATAGTCGTTTGACAAAATTGTAATAGAGTAAATACCATAGACAATAAGGGCAAATTTTGTATGCTAAGTTCAATCACTAATTAGAGTTATGAACTTTTTACTTTACATTATTTTTACAATCTAGTGCTTGTTTGGTAGGGATTTTGATAATTGATTTTTTGACCGTTAGAGATAAAATGGGTCCTACTTGTGAGAGAAAAATTCAAAAATGACAGCTAAAATAGTGAAATAACGATAAAAAAATTAATTTTAATTGGCTTCTAAGCTGTACTAAACAAGTTCCTAATAAGTTGTATCACTTTTTTAATTTCAAGAGTTAAGGGCATCATTGGTTTGACGGATATCTTCTCCAAGCAAGTCGCAAGAGTTCAAGAAATTTGCTTTTGAAGAACTAGAATGAGATTACTCTAATTTCATTTTGTTTGTTGCCTTTTCAAGCGTTTATTATAATTTGATGTGAGACGGAACACAATTAGATTTCTCTATTTAAAAGCTACACTTGTGTATTTTTACAAGATAATATTGATGCGTGTTTTGGTTATTATTATAAGCGTGGTTTTTTTTTTGTTCATGTTTTTAATCCAAAAAATAATGCCAATGCATATTTACATTCAACAATTAAGAAATTAAGAATTCTATGTAATATGTATACATAATAGTAAAAAAAAAATGCTAATGGTTTGGTTCGATTTTAAACTGCCGGTTTCGTCGTATATTTTTTTGTCTGTCTACTTTTACGCTATCAATTAATTGAATTCAATATATATTTATATCTTACTAGCAACAAATATAAAACAAACTAAATATATCTACTATAAATTTAAATATCAAATAAATCAAAATGAAATCACAATAAAAGTTTTTTGTTCACCATTTTTAGGCTAGTGACGTTACGATAACGTTACAATAAAAGTCTACTAAACTAAATATAAGGCCAAAAACATTAATGATGTTCAACAAGCCGTGATCATCATATCTGCAAGAAAAAAAGCTTATTAATTAGATAGAGAGAATAATCAACCACAATAGTAAAGTTATTATTTATAATATCTAAACATAACAATTACACAAGTTTATATATTGTTACGAACTAAGTTTCTCATATATACTGAAACCCAGATTCAATGATTCACTTGGCGAAAAAGAGAGGCGTCGTTTTGGAAACTAGGAAGCATTGGAAGGACGAGAAATAGAATTGAAAGAAACCCCTTTTTTATTTCGTGTCATTCAAACCAAAATTCTTTGTTTTTTCTATTTTGGAGCTCATATAGCTTTTGAGGCCCTGGGCCGAAGACAAAAATTAAAACTTGACAAAAATAATAATAATAATAATAATAATAATAATAATAATAATAATAATAATAATAATAATAACTAATTAGGATTATTGGGTAATAATAATATATATGTAATAGAAGATTAAAAATTGACAAAAATACCTACAAATGACAAAAGTCATAAAACTATTGAATTTTACATATTTGAATGAATTTCAAAAAAATTCATTTTTTATTTTTTATTTTTATATTTTGTTTTGCTATTCTGATTTGGTTTTAAACCACAATTAAAATTTTCAAACCCAAACCAAACCGTTGGTTCAAAACCATTTCGTTGACGGGTCTGCACACACCAAACTAACGGTTTCTAAAATACGATTTCGGTTTGATTTTTCGATTTAGCGATTTTTGCTTACAACCCTACCATGTATGATAAAAAAATATCAAAAAATATCATCCACCCACGCCCATCGTGAGTTGTCTGGACAAATTCGGTGACTTCCCATCTTGTAAGTGCAGCACGGATTTAATTTATGCTTCCAAATTTTTCGGTAGAAAACTTTAATTACCACTGATTAATTAACTCAGACTGCAAAGTTTGAAGTTCAGCCACCCAGTTGCCTATATATGTGTTCAGGTTTGTGGAAGACAAGCCCATTGCAACATTATTTTTCTCTACAAATCCTGTTTATATCCTTCGTGGTGGTAATTTTACTCGACAATTAATGGGCATTATTATAAGCTCTTGTTGATATTATTATAACTCCGGATACCAAAGAATAACTAATAAACTTCTGTAAAAATCGTCATAAAACTTGTACCCGTACAAGTTAATATCCCGTAACTCCATTTATTCTAAGAAGATAAATACATTGAGTAGGAGTCAGTAAGCCGTCGTCATATATCAGAAAGTAAATGCTCATATTTACAATAGCATCACCGAATGCAAAAAGGTTTCAAAGGCATCTACAAGCTAAAAGCTCAAAAACTGATCCAGTGAAACGGGATCGATGAATCCTACAATTAACTTCAAGAAAGCATATTGCAATCCAAGAGTATTTTGCTTCTCAATTTTCAAGGATAAAAGCCACCAACACTACAAATTTATTGTCACAACCCAACAGAAATATAACAATGCTCATACACAGCTATGTCAGCTTTTTAGTCGTTTAGCAATGACACAGCCCTCAAAGGTTTCCAGTGAGGAGTACAAACTATGATCTTCGTTTGGCCGTTTGGTTTCCTCTAAGATTCCATCATTCAGATTCAGGGCAAAGTCATGGACATCGGCAAATATTTGCAAGTGCCCTGCAAGAAGAAAGATAAACATTAAGTAACAAAACTGTCTGCCCTCCAATTAAAAGGTACATCAATACTCTTGCAGGGAGAAGGAATATAGTAGAGGCACAGCAAGTTCACATATATATACATATGGCCTGTGGGAGGCTCACATGACGGGCTATTAGCTCAGTGGTATACATACGTACGTACATATATATATATATATATATATATATATATACATATATATATATATAGAGAGAGAGAGAGAGAAATAAAAATAAACAATCTGGTGCATTATTGCGGCTGCATTAACAAGAAGAAAATGGACCATGAGCACTAGTAATTATTTACGCTTTAAGAGCCTCCATCCAAGCCCAGGGACTTCGAGTTTTCACAAGGTAATTATCCCAAAGTTTTTTTATTGATAGGTAATCAAATAACTTTATTACTTAAAAGAGAATACACGGGGGGCGTACAATCACTTTAAGCCATTAAGGAAAAACATGAAATTAGGCAACCCACCTACAGGATTTCTAGCCACAGCATTAAACCAAGAATACAAGGTAAAGTAAAATATTTCTCTTATCTACTCTCGTCTTTGTTTGGTCTTCGAAGCAACGGTTGTTCCTTTCTCTCCACACGCTCCAAACAATGCAACCCGAGATAAGGTGCCATGCTAGTTTGCTATCCTTATCCCGAAATTTTCTACGCCATGCTCGTATCACGTCCTCTATACGACGAGGCATCACTCAATCCATAGATTGTAAACTGAGTATACTGTTCCAAATCCAACGTACACCATCACAATGAATGAACAAATGATCGATCGTCTCCGCATCCTTCTTGCACATATAACACCACTCGATTGCGTAAAAGCCTTTACAACGAAGATTATTCACCGTTGAGACCTATCCCCTCACAACTGTCCACAATAGGAATGCCACCCGAGGAGGCAATTTACACTGCCATACCAACTTTCAGGGGAATGAATTATTCACACATCCCATGAGGGAACCAAAGTACGAGCGAACCGAAAAAATGTCATCCTGTGCTGTCCTCCACCTGATGCAATCCCTCTCTCCAACCCGAATATGGGCCTCATGTAAAATGGTCATAAACAGCAAATAATCTTCCAATTCCCAATCCTGAAGATCTCTCCCAAAAGTAATATTCCAGCTATAGCTCCCATTATGAATGTCTAAGAGATCACTCACCATAGCAGTGGACACTGAGGCAATGCGGTGCAAAGAAGGGAATCTCTCCTTCAACGGTTGATCTCCGCACCAACAATCATCCCAAAATTTAATCTCATTACCATTTCCAACCACAAACTTCTGTTTGTCCAAAAAAGCACTCCATCCCCGTCGGATATACCTCCACAAGCTCACCCCATAAGAACCACGATCCTCAAATGTACACCATCCCCCATCGGTCACACCATACTTCGCCCCAATTATTTCTCTCCAGAAGCTTTCCCTCTCCACTCCAAATCGCCACAACCACTTGCTTAACAAGGCTTTATTGAACAACACAAGGCTCCTCACCCCAAGACCCCCCATCCTCATTGGCAAACAAACAACTCCCCAATTGACCAAATGGAGTCTCCTCTCCTCTCCCCTCCCCTCCCAACCCTACCCTACCCTACCCACAGAAATTCTCTTTGAAGCCTCTCTAATCTCTTTGCCACTGCAACCGGAATGGGGAACAATGACAAAAAGTAAGTAGGGAGATTGGAAAGAGTGGATTTAATGAGAGTAAGTCTACCTCCCTTAGAAAGGTACATACGCTTCCACCCTGCTAACCTTCTCTCCATCCTTTCCACAATACCATTCTAGATATGGATACTTTTAAATCGTGCCCCAAACGGGAGTCCTAGATATGACATCGGCAACTGCACAACCTTACAACCCAATATATCAGCCAGCTCCTCGACATTATTGACCTCCCCAACTGGAATAGCCTTAGACTTCCCCAAATTGATTTTCAAACCAGACACTGCTTCAAAACATAAGAGCAGACGGCGCAAGTTCCTGAATTGTTCAACATTTGCATCGCATAAGATCAACGTGTCATCTGCAAATAACAGATGAGACACATGCAATTGGTCAACCATAAAACCCCTTATCAAACCCGCTCTCACTGCTCTTTCAATCATCCTACTGAGAGCCTCCATCACAATGACAAATAACAATGGGAACAATGGATCCCCTTGTCTCAAGCCTCTGCTGCTCCGGAAATAACCCTTTGGTGTTCCGTTGACCAAAACTGAGAATGAAACAGTAGAAATACAGAATTGAATCAATTTACACCATTTATCCCCAAAGTCACAGCGCCTGAGCATGTACAACAAGAAACCCCAATTCAAATGGCCGTAAGCCTTCTGAATATCTAGCTTACAAAGCATCCCTGGAGCCCTTAGGCGCATTTTTGAATCTATGCATTCATTCGCTATAAGCATGGAGTCCAAAATCTGACGCCCTTTTACAAATGCATTCTGAAACTTGGACACTATTTTTCCCAGCATCTCCTTTAATCTATTTGCCAGGACTTTCGAAATAATCTTATACACCCCGCTGAAAAGGCTAATGGGGCGAAAGTCCTTAATATCAGTCGCTCCCGATTTCTTAGGGATGAGCACAATAAATGTGGCGTTAGAACTTCTCTGGAATCTGCCACGTTCAAAAAAATAAGATAAAGTATTCACAATGTCCGGTCGAACCACATCCCAGCACGCTTTGTAGAATGAGAACGAGAAACCGTCCGGTCCCGAGCCCTTATCATCGTTCATGCTGAAAACAACCTCCTTAATTTCATCCTCCCCAAATGGTCTCTCCATCTATCTAGCATCATCCTCAGTGATTGTAGAAAAGTGCAATCCCTCCAATTCTAGCCTCCATTCAAATTGCTCCCGATAGAGGTTCCGATAAAAATTCACCAGTTGGCTTCCAATTTCCTGTGGTTCATCATAAGTAACCCCGTCCATCTCCAAAACTGTGATGGAGTTGTTCCTCCTATTAGAATTGGCGACCCTGTGGAAGAATTTAGTGCATTTATCCCCCTCTTTCAACCAAGTAACTCTAGATTTCTGTCGCCAATTAATCTCCTCCATCTCCACCAACCTCTCCATCTCTTCCTTTAATACTCTATGTCTCTCCTTCTCCTCCCCAGTCAACCCTTGACTCTCCTCCCGCCTATCCAATTCCTCTATCTCTGACAGACTGATTTTTACTGCAGTTAACATTGCCCACAACTTCCTCATTCCATTTCTTTAAATCCCCTTTCAACGCCTTTAGCTTCTGATCCAATACAAAACAGGGAGACCCACTGACTTCATAGGAAGTCCACCACGTCTGTACTCGCTCCCTAAAACCTTCTACTTTCAACCACATCTTCTCAAACCTGAAAGGTCTTCTTCCACCACCCCTTCTATTCCCCGATAACATAATAGGAAAATGATCCGAGTATACCCTCCCCAATCTTCTCTGAGTGACATCTGAATATTTAGACTCCCACTCCCCACAAATCAAGAACCTATCAATACGAGACAAAACGGGTCGATCCCGATTGGATGACCAGGTAAAATCTCCCCCAATCATGGGTAAATCCACCAACAAATTCTCCCTAATAAAATCTGAGAACTCCTCCATTGCCCTAGTTAGTCTCCCATCACTCGACTTCTCCGAAGGAAATCGAATCACATTGAAATCACCCCCAATACATGTAGGAAGATTCCACCAAGCCCTCATTCCAGCCAGTTCATCCCATAAACCCACTCTACTGTCATCAGAATTAGGCCCATAAACTCCTGTGAACATCCACTGAAATCCATCCTCACAATTTTTGAAAGAAATCGATATAGAGAACACCCCTATACTCACCTCCTTCATCTCAAGCACTCTAGTGTCCCACATCACCAACACGCCTCCTGAAACCCCTGATGACCCCAAAAACTAATATCCAACATGATCTTCCCCCCCCCCTCCCCCATAAACTACGAATCACCGCCTTCGAGATAAACTCCATCTTAGTTTCTTGTAGGCAAACAAGATTTGCCCCCCATCCCCTTAGCAAATGACGAACACCAAACATTTTACTAACCTTGTTGAGACCCCTTACGTTCCAACTACTGAGTTTTGGCATCATTGTAACACTCCATAACCCCTCCCCATTGTTCCTTTCTTGGACTCGCCACTCTTACCAGCATAGTTTACTGACCATTCGAGCCTCTTAAGTTCACGATCACCCTTTCTTCTTAATTTACTTCCATGTGTACTGATGTCTTGTCCCCTATTAGCCTCCAACTCCTCGAATAATTGTAACAATCTACTTTCATACCCATCACATGACACACCAACCAACTTACTGAATTCCTGAATTTTTTGTAGAACCCAGTTTGAAGGTGGGTGACCAACTTCTAACACATCAGCTCCTGAAATATCCTCACCCTGATAGCCCTCGAGTTGATCAAAGGACCGTTCTCTCTCTTCCACCACTGGTATAATGTCACTGTCACTTTCTCCTTTCTTGGCACCACCACCCATAACACCAAAGCTTTTTCGATCCCCATATCGTTATCTTTTGTCCTCCTATTATAAGTGTTCGTAATCCTTGATGTCGTCTGTGTAGAGTTGTTTTCTTTCACAGTGTCCATTGACAATTTCTCCAAATTCACCATACTAAACTCCCCTTCCTTAGACAGCGGTTCCACTTCTCGTTCAACTGCAATCCCTGTGTCTACTTCAGTTCGGTTGACCCCCACAAAGTCGACCCCGTCATCATTTCATGGTATCCCGCTTCCATCCTCACCTGAGAATCACAATGTTCATCTCCTCCCTGCTTTGCATGTTCTGAAATTGATGGTAGTTCCTCATGAGTCAATCCCGGTACGTGTATTTCACCGGTTGGATCCTCATCCAACTCAACCCCACACTTGTGACAGCGTACCAATTTCATGGGCTCCATTTCAGGCCCGCTTCCAACCAGTCTAAGTAATTCATCTAATGCTCCTTTCAACTCCTGCGCAC